TTACCACACCCTTTTATAAAGCCCCTAATATTATAGTGAACAACTAAATAAAGGTAATCGTATCATTAAAAATTTCTTAATTTGGATAATTAAACAAACTATAATCCTAAAATAATTCTTAGATGTCCAACAATTAACACACCTATTAGTAAAATTCTCTATTGATTTTCAAATAATCTCCATAATAAAACCTTTTTATAACATAGAGCACCTTGTTGCTTCAATAACTCGTAGGTTTTAATGATGAACTAACTAAGTTACTCTTATGGAATAAAAACCCATTTATTATTAATAACTATAATAAAATCTACATTTAAATTTTGTTTTCAAGACTTTTAATTATTATTTCATCAAAACTAAGACTATTCTTCAATCAGTGACTTTATCAAAGGAATTATATTATTTAAAGATTCAGTAGGTGTATATAGTGTTTGAACAAAAGGTTCATCTACAATAAATCTAAAGATATTATCACCAACCACATTTTTATTACCATTTGTATATGTGAAGAAGGTGTTATATTAAGTGAATTAAATTTTCCAATGAGAAAACATTGATTAGAAGAAGAATCACGGAAAGTTAGATTTTTGAATTAGTAAAGGCTTTAATTTTGTAACCACTGGCCTTTTGTAAAAATTTTTAAAACCTTAAATGAAGGTTAGCTATTCTTTTTCAACTGTAGTACAGTTGTGTTCAAAAAGAAATGATACATTGTATTTTTTGAATAAAAATATTTGATAATTCTATTTTAGGAAAATTTATAAATTATTTTAAGTTTTTTAAACAGTATTTTTAAATTTTTAAATTAAAAGTATAATTTATTTGGTGTTTTTTTAGTTTTTTTTTCACATTAAAATTACTACATATGTTTAACAGTAAAATATTTATATAAATTTTACCTAATCTAATTTATTATTATTACTATATTATATAATTACATCATATTTATATAAATTTTAAAAGTTCTTACCCTATTAATAGTATAAAAATATTTTTCAACAAGCTGTTTACAAACATAACAATTTTAAAAAACAAAAGTATAATTTAAAAAATAAAAGTATAAAAATTTTAAGTAAAATTTTAAAAAAATTATAAAACCAGTTTATTCAATTAAAGGATTGAAAAAAATGCTAATATTCCAAGTCCTGATAATGTAAGAATTGATTTAATTCCATTCTCACTTCTGTTACTAGATCCTTCATCTGAATCATCTTCCTCCTCCTCATCTTCATTGTCATCTGCTGCTGGTTCAGCAGTATTAGTTGTATTTAGTGTATCACCTTCATCATCAATTAAAGCATTTGTTAAATCTGATGTCATCATAAGTCCATCAGGTGCTAGTATTGTTTGACCATTATCCAATATCATCTCACTAACCATTGGTACATCAGTTGCTGTTGTAGCTAAATCACTTCCCATCATAGTGTTCATTACAGGATTAGCAGTAAGATTATTAACATCACTTAACATTGGTATATTACTCATATTATTAATAGGCATCATTGAATCATTATTGCTCATAATTTCTCTTCTATTAGAAAATTCATCTCTCTTACTATCAATCTGTTGTGCATTAAAATTTTGACTATAAGAATTATGTGATGTATTGTAGTAAAGCTTTCTATCATCTTTGTATGAATTCTTAGATTTAGTATAATAACTCCTGTCAAAACTCATATTTGGATTGGCTACAGTAATAGGAGGATCAAGAACTGTTAAAGTTTCCTCAGTAGTCATTGTG